ATATATATATATATATATATATATATATATATATATATATATATATATATATATATATATATATATATATATATATATATATATGGCAAAATAAATATCGCCGAAGGAACTGGACCCAGTTCCGAAATATCACCATGCAAATGCATGGTTGGACTCTAAGAAAGACCCTGGGAACGAGGTTGGGTTAGACTTTCGCGTATATTCTCGGATAAGGACGTTAAAATCGTAGGCGTGTTTGGAAATACGCTCAACGAGTGAGTAACTCAATAAACAATAATATTAACAGAAATATATTAACACCTCAAAACGTTTCAGGTCGAACCGAAGATGATGACGAGAAACGACGGGAATACGAAGGTGTTGAGGTTGAGAGAGACGATCAACTCATTTCGATCGAAGAAGAAGCATTGTCAGCGAAACAACAAGCACACGAGCACACTCACATCCTCATGGAAACGCAGCGTAAACTGCAGGTCGTTGAAGCAGATTTCGAGAAAGGATTTCAGAGATGCGAAGCGGCTCTTGCTAAGGAGCAAGCGAACATTGATCTGATTGAGAGAAATGGCGAACAGTTACGAACACTCGAGGATCGTGATAATGAAGCAGCTGAACGCGAATTCGAAGCTGAAGAAAAACTAAGGTTTGTTTATGCAGGGTTCGTAGTCTCCAAGACCAAAAATATTCAAAGACTTTCAAAGATTTTTTCTGCCTATTTTCAAAGACTTTTCAAAGACCTTTGAGAGCAATCAGCTGTCCAAAAATTGCGAGTGTATAAGCACCCTTTTTACCCAGTAATTAGTCCCGCCACATCACATCTAAACATGTACCTTTTCGTCGATATTTGCGAAAACCTTGCTTGCTCTTCAATCAATCTATTTTATTAGCTAGGAAATTGTATAATCACTGAATACTCACTAAAGAATTAATTTTAAAGACTTTCTTCGCTTTTTCACACAATTCAAAGACTTTTCAAAGACCTAAAAGACCTGCATTCAAATTTAAAGACTTTCAAAGATTTTAAAGACCGCTACGAACCCTGTTATTATTTAATTTTACTTAAAATGCGACTAACCCCAAATGTAATTTTTGGCATGTGTGATATTTGGGTCATTCTAAGAAGGAATGTAATGTATCCTCATGGTAAAAAACCTCATCTTGACCAACTTTTTCACTGTCAAAGTTTCCGGATATGATGTCATTGGGTGAATTTTTGGTACAAAAAACAAACGAAAACTAATTTGCAATTCACCTAATGACATAATATCTGGAAACTTTGACAGTGAAAAAGTTGATCAAGATAGGATTTTTGTTGTAAAGATATCTTACATTTCCTCTGCGATATTTGTGTATAGTTGCACTTTAATTAGGTATATGTATACTTCAGTGAACTACCAAGGGTCTACCTACGCGCAGTGTTTCAATTCTATGAAATAGAAATGAAACACTGCGCGTCCTCTAAGACAAGCGTTAAGACGTCACGAAAATATTTCGTGCACTTAAATTGGATAAGACTCGCTACCAATCCCCGTTGATTCCATAGCTCAATGGGTAGAGCGGCGGTCTAGATACCCGAAGATGCGAGTTCAAATCCCGCTCGAGCCAACGAATTTTTCGTTGCTCGATTGCAGTGTCAGATTAATATGAAACTAGTTTTTCCTTGTTTTTCAAGTATACGGAAACGCGAGGCGTTTACAACCCACACAGCCCGACACAGCGATGGCCAATAAAAAGCAAATAATTCCCCTTAATTTATACCCCCTACCTAAGTACCCCAGTGGCCATTGTCCGACGGCAAGTGAATTTTATTCAGGGCAACTAATTTTCATGTCCAACTTGCCCTGAGGGTAGGTGGTCAAAAAAGTAAAGTTACACCACTGTTAAGGCCCTGTTACACGGTGCAATTTTTCATGCAACTTGTCTCGCAATGGCGTTGCAAGACAAGTTGCACGAGTCATTGCACCGTTTAACATGCCTTGCAATGGTCAAAATCATTGCGAGACAAGTTGCATGAAGCATTGCAGAGAGTAGAAGTCGGTTCTACTTTTGGCAACGATTGCACTAATTATTTTTAGCATTGCAGCGTGTAACATGGCTTCGTGAAACTTGTCTCGCAATGTTTAATGCTTGGAGAGTTCCTATTGGCTCTCCCCAGTACACGCTTTACTTTAATTAAAATTTAGCGCCAAATAGCGCCTCTCCCTATTCTCTTCGCATGCCTCTGTCCCGTATCGTTGCGAGTTGCATGAATATCATTGCAGCGTGTAACACCTCTTGCAATGCATTATCAAAATCTTTTCTTAAACATTGCGAGACAAGTTGGATGGAAAATTGCACCGTGTAACAGGGCCTTTAGTGTGAACGGGGTCCTCAATCGCTTTCACTGGTTTTAAATATAGATTTCTGGAAGAACAACTCAAGGAGGCGGTTGCGCGAGCAGAAAGCGCAGAACGTGATGTAGTGCGAAACGAAAACATCGTCACCAGTGTCAAGCTTGATCTTCAAGCATGGGTAGATAAACGCGCAAAAGTTGATAAAGAAATCGACAAAATTGACGAGCTCGTCGGAGGACTGAGTTCTTTTGACGCGCTCGACGAACCAGAGCCAGAACCGGAAGTTGAGCCAGAACCGGAAGATGAGCCAGAACCCGAACCTGAGCCCGAAGAGGAACCGGAAGAAGACTGAGGCGAGTGAAAATCTTGTGACTGTTAATTCTTTTAAACGGATAAATAAACCAGAATTCAATGAATGGTGAATATAAAAAATATGTAAAATTACTGCAGTTAGAATGTTCGCTAGATAAATTGCTTTTTAAATTGGTATAAATACTTGATAAATAAAATGAACGAAAAATAGCTTGTGTGTTTATGGTATGCTTGTTTCGATTTTCTCGAAGCATTGACAGGGTTCGTATATGTCAGGAATTCAAGGACTTTTCAAGGGCATGTATCAGCAAATTCAAGGCTACAAAAGGGCTTCAGCCCTTCAGAAATCAGTAAAAAGTGACATTGAATAGGCAATTCCAGCTTTTAGTTTATGCGTGCAGGGAACGATGGGAAGTAAGGTATCATATTGCTGATTATGCTGAAAAATAAAAATGGTGGCCGTGTAAACACGGAGTGATAGCTTATACTTGTAAATATTGAAATATTTCGGTTGTTTCGGTAGTTTTTATTGAAAATTTTCAGCATAATCAGCAATATGATACCTTACTTCCCATCATCCCCTGCACGCATAAACTAAAAGCTGGAATTGCGTATTGTTCAAAACGGAACTTCAATTAATTTCAAACATCTTTGTCAAATATGAACATGCAAAATCAGTTGAACAAAATGTCTGTTTTTGAATGTCAAGCAAATTTGAGATAATATCCACAAACTAAAGAATCTGTCATTCGATCAGAATTCAATTCATGGTATATTTCTAAACGCCATTGTCATCCAGAAAGCAAATCTAAAAGTTTCAGTTCTATATTCTTCTAATTGGAATCGCTTTATTTACAATTTAAGAACTAACTAGCTTACTATACAAAAAAATTATTGAAAATCTCTGCATTTCACTAAAATAGACAACTTGCATGTTAGACTAATTTTTGATTTAGGCAAAAAAATAAATTCTTGAGCCGAAAATGGTAACAATTTCCGCACGTAATACAAACATATACAAAATTTGCAAAACTTTGCAAGACTATATTTTCCACGCTTTACATCATTTCGCAACCAAATTTTGCAATTTTACTAATTTCATTATGTTCTTTTTAGCTGTGGTGTTTGATTCCCTTCTCTTTACTTAGATTAAAATTTAGTCTAACATGCAAGTTGTCCATTGAACATGCTCACCTCATTGCTTGCAATCGTGTCATAGGTGAACAAGGACTGGTTTGTGAAAAAGTCTGAAAAAGGTAAAAACGTGTCTTCATTGAGACAAAATGAACTTGGCGTATTTCCTCCAAAATAATAGCCCCCAGCCTCTATCCCCCTTCTAATACCCTCCCCCAACCATGCAAAATTAGTATATCACCTGCTACACACGTAACATCTCACAGCTTCTCATAGTGTTTGCACCGCTTGTTCTCAGTTGCTGACAAGTCTGGAACAAGTTGTTATCATCTTGTAACAAGGTTGATGAGGTCAACAGACTCGCAACAAGTTGTTCCAACAAGTCTGATATCGTCTGCACGTAACAAGTTGTTAACAAGCTGATGACAACAAGCTCGCAGCAACTTGTTACGAACAGCCTGTATTAATTAATCTTCTCGGAACAACTTGTAGCCGATCTGGATCTGTTACCGTCATCAGTCTTGTAACAAGATGATATCAACTTGTTCCAGACTTGCCATAACAACTGGGAACAAGCAATGCGACGTTGTTTGCGGATCTGTAACAACTCGCGCGTTTTTACGTGTGCAGTTGGGGGCAGAGGAGATTGCATGGAATTGAATAATGCTTAACCAGAATAAATTTCGTGTTTTGGCACTTTCCCATTAATAGTCCAGCGGAAAAGTAAAAAATCATGCACTTTGTGAAGAAAGCACCCAATTCACAGGAAGTGTAGACTTTAACAAGATAATGAATCTTAGATATGGAGGCATCACCAAAATTGATGCTGACGGCTTAAAATTTAGGATTTCCCATATTCTCTTATTAAACTCAATTACTGTTTAAAATTGTGAAATTGCAGGTTCACATATAGCAAAAATGACTTGCATGATTAGGAAGCTTTCAAAAAACTACATATAAGACTTTTAAACGGCTGATTGCTATTTAAAAACGTGATAAATAGGTGAAAATCCCGCCACAATCCTGGACACTAGCCCTAAAACGTATTTTCAACCGCTCATAACTCCAGAGGAGTTGGAAAATCAAAGAAACTGCTTAAATGTCTTATATGCAGTTTTTTGTAAGCTTTCTAATGACGCATGTCATTTTTGCTATATGTGAACCTGCAATTTCACAATTTTTAATTGTATAAGAGATTAATAAGAGAATATGGGAAATCCTAAATTTTAAGCCGTCAGCATCAATTTTGGTGATGCCTCCATATCTAAGATTCATTATCATGTTAAAGTGTACACTTCCTGTGAATTTGGTGCTTTCTTCACAAAGTGCATGATTTTCTCAAATATCTGTGCATATCCGCTGGACTATAAGTACTTACTGTACTTAACTATAATTAAAACATGAGCAGCCGATCTTTATCTGATATACAAGGCGTAAAAAAAAATACCTGTGGTTCCGGTTCCCGACCGACCCTATTTTTCTCTGCCGACTCAACGCGATTGACCGTGCGACCCTATTTTCTCCAGGTGGATGCGGGCTGCTCATACAGCGTGCCAAAATGGCGTCTGTTGTCACACTAATTATTGAACCAAATTGCCTAAATTCGTCCATAGGAAATACGCATCTCTAGTTAATATTGATGTCGAGACTCTACTGCAAATCACCCAGCAGAAAACCGCCAAAACCATGAAAAAAATATTCAAAAAAAAAATTATTTCCAACCTACCGACCCTAATTTTTTCACGATATGAAACCGGAACCACAGCCCACAGGTATTTTTTTTACGCCCAAACTCGAGAGTTTGTATATCAGATAAAGATCCGATGCGAAATGTTTTAACGTGCTTTAAATACGACTCATCTTATGAGTTCATTGGCGACGTAATTTTAAAAATAAACATTGTCTAGGCCGAGAAAATCAAAGCTGAAGTTTATGTAAATCAGGACAAATCTTTATCCGATTTACAAACATTGAAATGAGTGTTTGAAATATATATTATACAACCTTTATACACAGCGAAACAAAAATTCTCAATTAACGATTTTTTGGCAGGAACTACAAATATTGTCAGTTAGCCAGAAGTTTGCCCACCTTCTCAAGAAAACTCTTGGTTTCATTATTAAACGAGTCGACCGGAGATGGTGGATTTGCATACTGTAACAAAAAAATAGATTCAGTATAGTTAAGGGAAAATTTTTATAATCCACACTGAGTTTATAAGCGGGGCAAAATTTATTTCACCTTGAATTTCTTCTGCAAAGCTCTGGTCATAATTGGCGTCAATCCTTCACCGAACGACTGCTGACGTTTTTCATTTACGGGCGTTCCTCCTGGGCTTCGCTTGTTCTCGACTTTTCTTAAGTTGTGTCGTAAGAATGCGATCTTTGAGTGAGCTGGACTTCTGAGTTTTAGATAAAATTGAAATTATCAATTCGTGTTTAAAGAGCCAGTATTTATAACAAAAATGCAGCAGGCCCAGATTCCTTACATTCATTGAGTAGAGACAGGGGCAGATCTAGGCTCATCTGCAAGGAAGGGTGCAGGATTTCCATGGGGTGGTGCATAAGGGAGCCTTACTGCCCACTCTCCTCTGCAGTCTGCAACGCTACTATCCCAACATTACCATTATTTGAGATGGCCGAATCTGCATATTCGTCGTCCTGTTACGTTTTACATTATCTTTTGTTATAAAGTTTATAACGACTTTTTATCACGTATGCGTGACTGGACAGTTGCTGTAGCACAGACCACACGGTACAGTAAATGTGCTTATTCAAGGACTGTATATTTGGAAATATGGTTGTATAAACATGTCTACATTATACGATATTTAACCATGTTTACATATTTAACCATGATATTTAACTAAAGCATTCTGAATATTTTCTCGTGAGCTCACAAATCACATTAAATCGTTTCAAGAAATCGACACGCATTAACAACAGAGGTTCCACTAATCACTATTCGAAAAGCAGAAAATGTATGGTCAAGCAGATTTTTTTAGGGTGGTGCTGGCTTCTCCAGGGGAATGTTATAGACACCTAGATCCGTCCCTGCCAAACGTACAGTATCATACCTTTTCTTAATGGTACTGCCATTGGTCTGTGTTCTCTTTAAGGATACTTTACGAATATCTTTCAAAGTGATAAATGGATGTCTATTCTCATCCTCCCCCCTGGGAGACACAAATTTCCCCCCTCGACGCTTCTTTAATCCGAATATCAGGGGGGAGTCGGGTGTGTTTTCTTTTTCACGTTTATCGACGTGGTGGCTGACTTTACGTAATTTCACACTTGTTAGTTCCTCAAGGGATATACCGACTTTTGTTGGTCCATTGTTGGAGTTTTTCTTCCCATTCTCGGACTATAAAAAAGTTGAAAATTTTTAAAAACTTTTTGTAAACTAGTAAATAATCATAAATAGTGGCAGCCAAAAATTATGGAAATTCAAATATTAACCCTTTGAGCACCAGTGCTCTTAACCCTTGACAAGTAAAATCATCTGGTATTAAACAAAGTAAAGTAATAATTTCAAAGTAGGGCACAATGCAACTTAATGGGTTAAGCCCATAGGTTAAGCCATTCCAAAGTTGATGAGTGGACTGGGAACGAGTGTTAAAAAGTGCCCTCAGAATTAGTAAGTATACAAAGTTTGAAGACATTTACACGAATATCCTTTGAATAATAAACTTTCGAAAATCGTGATATTTACTATGAAATGTATTGTTATTTTTGTTTACAATCTTTTAATCAGTAATTTCACAATTTTCGAAAGGTTATTATTCGAATGGTATTCATGTAAACGTCTTCAAACTTTGTATACTTACTAATTCTGAGGTGGTCTTTTTAGTGATTTGGTTCATTTCTAATTCATTTGGGCACTTTTTAACACTCGTCCCCAGTCCTCTCATCAACTTCGGAATGGCCAATGCCTACCATAATGCCCATTTTCTTACCTTTTGTTTTTTCTTGAATGTGATAACTGGAGGAGGTTTGCACACCGGTGGTGGGGGAGGCGGTGGAGGTGGGGGTAATGAGGGTGGGCAAGGCACACTGGGGGGTACAGCACAGGGGATAGATATTGTGTTTGATGTCTGGTGACTGAAATTCTGGAGAAAACAAGGATTCAGTATTACAGTCGTGCCAATAGAAGCGTTCCGAAAAATGTTGACCAGTTCATTTCTTAACTTGAAGGAACACCTCTGAACGTTCCTCAACAATTTGATAATTTCCTTAAAAAGTTACTAACTTCCTGTTTCATTGACCAATCAAATTTTATATTTTATTTTTGAGCAATCTGATTGGTCAATGAAACAGGAAGTTAGGAACTTTTTAAGGAACTTATCAAATTGTTGAGGAATTGTTCAGAGGTGTTCCTTCAAGTTAGGAAATAAATTGGTCAACATTTTTCGTAACGCTTCTATCGGCAGGACTGTAATAATAACATATTTTATAATGACTTTAAGTATAAAAGTCAAGTGAGATCTCAGCAGCCAGGCCAGCCTGTTTGTCCATATAAACACACAGTAACATTTTCACTAAAAAATAACTACAGTGAGATCTTGCTTACCGGGCAAACAGCCACTATTGAGTAAGCAAGTACCACTTAAAAAGTTAATTTAAAGTTGGTTAACGATCTACATTAATTACATACTGTAACTTCTGTTCTCAGTCTCTTCAATTCTCGTTCAACCTCTTCCAATCTGCCAGACATTTCATCCAATTTTCGTTTACAAGGCCTCGACGGAAACACAGTATCACCAACACAACCTACTATCTAAAAACATCTTGAATTTATTAGCTAGTATCCATAATTTTTCTATTAATTATTTCCCTCTACATTTCTTTATTTCAGTCATGTTTGGGGAAAGTTTATTTAAGCCCCATACAGACGAGAAGGTTTCCCTTGACAAGTTTACCTTGTCATGTATATATACGGTAGACAAGTTTTTCTTGACAAGTTCTGTTGCTCGTATTCATAACTTAATGTAAAAAAAAATGTGTCTGTATGAGCACTGAGAATAGGAACCTTACAGAAGGCGAACTTCTTGGTTTTGCCTATGATGTTGGTGTAACCATTGCAATGCTGTTGCTACGTTCCTAGTCAGTGTGCTTACAAGAGGCATTCACCCCCCTCTGAAAATATTCAACATGGTGGACATTCAGGGGGGTGATTGTCTCTTGTAAGCACACTGGCTAGGAACATGGCAAGTGCATTTTGGTATTGAATCATGTGATTGCAAATCATGGCGTGATTTCAGTTATGCTTTTTTGGCTGAGTCAACCCTCCGTAAGTTCTCTATTGTTTATATCCACTGGCAGATTGCATTTTTAAATCCCCCATGGAGGACATCCATTTTTTGGTCCGGTCCCTTTGGAATTTCCACATATTTTTAGCCTCCCCTGTGGAATTTCCACAGATTTGTGCCTTAAAAATTAAACCCTCACATGGAAATTCCTTCGTATTTTGGTGGTTTTTTTGGTTTTTTTTTTTTTGGGGGGGGGGAGGGAGCTATTGCAAATTCCGATGTCCTCCATGGGGGGCAGGTTGGTTTAAAAATGCAATGTGCTAATTTTCATTTAGACATTCACATCAAAATGTACGAATATTTGCAGCATGATTTTATTGCACAAATATTCATATTTCTTGTACATTTATACAATTATACCCCCTATATTTTGTACATGACTACATAAACATATTACCTTTTTAATCCTTGAATATCCATTCGCCATTGAACCCGAAACTGCTGTATGAACGTTCATTTTACCTCGCTTTACCACATCTAAACTTTTGTGAATGGTTTTGCTGCATAACAACATACATGTACAAAGAAAATTTATTGGCCTAGAAGCCGTATTACTTAGGGAATTTATCAAACAGCTTGCAAGTCTTTTAGCTCTTGTAGATGAGACCCTTTCGCCCAATTCTTGCTCGAATTCTGTCCTCAACTTTAAAAATTTCGATGTTTCATGGCTACTTTGTAAAATTTTCTCGTCACTCAATGCAATTTTGTTTCTCGGTTTTCTACCCGGTTTTGAAGGCCGGTTAACCAACCAATTTCGCTTTTCCTTCGACTGTTTTTGTTTCTGTTTATTCCTGTGGCGTTTGGATAGCTTTGCCATGCTATTTCGTGGTATATTTTAAAAGAAATTTGGATAAAAGTTCTCAGGGGCGGATCTTAGGGGTCGTCAAGTCAGTCGCGCGACTGAAGTAAAAATTGGCCTACTTAATTAAAAAAATTCGACTCCAGCTATCTATAGCGGCCAGTAGATCGAGTTATTAAAATTTTGAATCGTAGTCCAGTTATACGTTTCATGCTGCGGCAGAGCTTCGGCAAAGTAATGTTAGTCAGTCACGAACAGCGGTCTTACGCATGAATATTGACGGATTCGGGGGTTGAATCCGGCTATCTGATTGGCTGACGCGCTCATTTCCATGGTTACAGCCATTTGCGACGGATCTGTGGGGAGGCCTGACGGATTTGCAGATTCAGGGGCTTTGTATGAGTCTTCTGATTGAACCATTTAAAAATATTCTGCACTGTCATTGGCTTATATTTTCGACGGATTCGTAGCGTGGGGTATTCGTCAACACGGCATTTGGTGTTTTATACCTCCTGAATGTTTACTATTTCGAACGTCTGGCATGTGAGAAATTTTACTATTATATTTTTACGAGCGATCTCTGCCAGCGATATCTGGAAACATTTTCGACAATATTCAGTTTGCGATTGCGGCAAACGATTTAGAATCTCTACAACGTTTGTATACGGAGCTTGAGAAAAATATCGATGCTTCACGGACAAATTCTGTTGACGAGCTACTGAACGGCAAAGTGAGCGCCATCAACAACACAAGCAGAAGCCTCGCTAGAAATTTTGGCGCAGAGAGCTACACTCCGAAGTATGTTCGAGATAAGAAAGACAAAGCTTGCACTGCAATTAAGGTAGAGAAATTTATGGTTTTATAATGATGTATCTTTAGTTTATATTAATTAAACCGAAGAACCAAAGCCGTCGGTGTTGTTAATGATTGTTTGACATATGATATTTTAATATTCGCTATGCCGTATTAGCATAATTCTCGCGTCAAGAAGCTAAAATATGTTTTATTCAATGTCCACATTGTAAGCATTTGTTGATTCTCGTGTTTATAGTGAAGTTTTATTTAAGATTTATTTATATTTATGCATCGATCACACAACATGTCGGCCTTATAGAATACTGTTTGTCCATAGCCTATCGACACGGCTTGTTAGACCGCATTGGTCTGGTGTAACATGATGATGTGAAATATTTAATAAGCTACCTTGAAAAGCTCATTGACTGGTAGCCATTCTCATGTAACTAGTTTATTAATATTTGACATAACATCTTTATGTCTTGTTAATGTAATAGTGTTTGACTTAATTAATGAATATCTGGTTGTTTTTTGGATCTGAGGCTACTAGCAATTATTTGTATAGTTCTGCGTTTTTGGTAACAGAACAGTATATTTCCTTAATGCATTTGCTGCCATATGATTTTACAAGTTTTACAATGATACACTTGTAGGTATATAGTATCAATATGACGACGATTGATTAATCCACAGGCAAACATTTTATTAAATTGCTGCTGAGTTTAAATGTACTATATCATAGTAATATATCCATAAAATTTTGTATTGGAATAGGATCAATATATCTTTGTGCATTTGTAGTTTTTCTTACAATGGATAAGAATCAAATGGTCGTTTGAGTTTATCAATTTAAATTCAATCTAAATACGTTTTTCACGCCCAGTCGAGACCACGCCCAGCGCTGACAACGCCCCGTCCGCCAAAAATTTTTGACTGAGGTACGAAAAATCCTAGATCCGCCCCTGGGCAAAAGAAATGTTGTTGAAGCGTTTTGGTGATTCATTTGCTGTTGCAGCTGCCTTTCGACAGAAGCTCGACACTTGGCCGCAAATATTTCCGAATGACGTACAGGGATTAAGAAATTACGCGGACTTTCTAGTTCAGTGCGAGAAAGCGATGGAAAAGATTAGTTGCCTGAAGGTCCTGGATGATGATCAAGAAAATCACAAGTTAGCATCTAAGTTACCAAGATGGACATTGGTCAGATGGGGAAGACGAGTCTACGATTGGGAAGAAAAGAACCACAATTTCCCCCTGTTCTCCGAGTTCGTAAAATATCTTGTGACCGAGTCCAATATAGCTTGCGATCCAGTTATCAGCCGTTTTAGGAAGACGACTCTAAGAAAGCGAAGGGTCAACCGTACGAAATACCGAATCGCAGGAATTGTCCGAATCGAGATGAATTTCGCAGTCGAAACACTCGCAACACGATCAGAAGAAGGAGATCAGGGCAAGGAAAGACCTAACGGTGAAGCAAAGCAAACCACCTGCATACTGTGTAATGGACCTCATGAACTGAACTCGTGTCAGTCGTTTTGCGCAAAGGATATAATAGATAGAAAGGAATATGCGAAAGAAAAGGGTCTTTGCTTTGGCTGCTTAACGCAAGGACACATATCTAAACACTGCAAAAAAAGAAAAACTTGTACAACGTGCAAGAAGTCGCA